TTTTTTAATCTGTAAGAGCCATCATACTGTGAAAGGCAAAATAGAAGTCTCTGAAATTTCCCTACTCTTCTACCTTGGCCATATAGTAATTCAAAAACAATGTCACATCCAAGAAGGAATAGCAGAGATAATTTCACTTCTAAAGACCTAAAGTATGCAAGGGTGATAACTTTCATTCCATCTCCCATTTAATAAATCTGTCTGGCCTTTGCAAAAGTCTGATGGATCCTGGAGGATGACAGCGGACAATTAGAAATTCAATCAAGTAGTAACCCCAGTTGAAGCTTCTTTGCCAAATGCGATATCTTAGCTAAACTATATCAGCATGAACTCAGGTACTTTTTAACATGGCCATTGAATCTATTGTTTTAAGAAAGGGGGACCACAAACAGTTCACATTTAGTTGGAATGGCTAGCAGTATACATTTATGGCTATGATGTGGGCTCCATTAATTATCCTACTCTCTCTTATAATATGGTCTGTAGGGACTTGGACTATCTGGAGGTCTGCAGAACATCATATTGGTCCAGTTTATTTATGTTCATTGGACTAGATGAGCAGGGAGTGGAAAGTACATTAAAGGCCACTCCAGAGAATGGCAGATAAACCCTATGGAGATTTAAGACTTTGACATATCAATAAAATTTTTAATAGTCCAGTGGCCTAGGACATGCTAGGGCATCCCGTACAAAGTAAATGACAAATTATTGCATTTTGCACATCCCACAGTCAAGAAGGAAGCACAACTATGGTAGGCCTCTTCAAGTTCTAGAGGTAAGAGACACATACTTCCTTTACCCCTATACTGTGTGACACCAAAGGCTGCCAGATGGAGGGATGTTAGCAAAATGATAGAATAGATAGCTCCAAGTTCTCTTTTTAGAGCTCTGGAAAATAGGCAAATATTTACTACAACCAAGTGAATGCTGAAGCAAGAAAAAGATAACTTAAAATCAGTAGGAAAGCATCTGTGATGTTTTCCTTGCACTCATCCCACCCTCTTCCTTGACTTAGCAGCAGTCTTGAAAGTGCCAGTCCATATTCCCAGTGTGGGACCCTAGTCCTTGCTTCTGGAGGGAGCAGAGCAGACCTTATTCTCAAAGAAGAGTGTTTGTCTGTTCTAACCTGTCTGGTGCCTACCTTAAAGACTGACATAAGTTACTGGCTTTTGTTTCACCTAACTTGGAGCTCATTGAAGAAGGAAAAGTAACAGGCATTATTCTAAAATTTTGTAAGACAACCAGCTAACCCATGGCCATCTGGGGCAAAAGATTAGAACTGAGATACAATAGAGTACCAAGACACTCTAGGGAGAGAGTTTCTCTGAGAAATTAGGACATTCAAAAGTGCCTGTGTGTATAGGGGAATTAAGAAAACCACATGCATGTCGAAGACAGGATGTACACTTGGGAGAGACTTGAGAAGACTCTAAGCTTTCATCTGTGGCTGCTCTATAGGCTTAGTACAAGGAGAAAATGAATGATAAATGAAAATGATCAGAGATTTACAGAGATGTAAATTACCTGGCTAAACATTGGAGGAGTGTCCTAACACAGACAGCTAATTTTCAAAGATGGAACTGAGAGAGTTTTTCTTTTTTATTTCTTTTTTTCCTCTCTCTCCCTATCTTCTCTCTCTCTCTCTCTCTCTCTCTCTTTCTCTCTCTCTCATGTATGTCTTCTGGAGGTAAAGGAAATATCTGTTAAAGGAACAGAGACTTTAGAGACCACACATGAAAAAGAATATGGACTTTACATAAGTAGTTTAGAAGTCACTAAACAGCTGCCGTTCACAGCAAGTGAGCAAACAAAACTATCCTGAGAGGAGGAAGAATCTAATTTCCAGGGTTACCAACTTATAGTATTTAAAATCTCTAATTTCCAACAAAAAAAGCATGCAATGAAATAAGAAAGTATGGCCTCTTCACAGAAAAAAAGTGAACATAAACTGTCTCTGAGGAAGTGCACAGATATTAGAATTTTTAGACAAAGACTTTAAATCAAGTATATTTAATATGCTCAAAGAGCTAAAGGAAACCAGGAGAATGAAGTAAAAACAAATAGAGGATATCAATAAATAAATGGAAATGATAAAAACTAAAATTCTGGACCTGAAAAGTACAATAGCTAAAATAAAAAAACCCACTAAGAGTTAATAGGTTTAAGCAGGCAGAAGAAAGAATCTGTGCCTTGAAGATAGGACATTTGAAATGATCCAATCTGGGCAGCATAAAGAAAAAAGAAAGAGGAAAAATGAACAGAGCCTAAGAGACCTGTGGGACACCATTAAGCGTAGTGATGTATCCTTAATGTGAATACCAGAAGGGGAGAAGAGAGAGAAATAACAAAATAATGTTTGAAGCAATGGCTGAAAACTTCCCAAATTTGATAAAATATAGGAATCTACCCATTGAAGAATCTCAACAAACTCCAAGAAGGACAAATGCAGAGAGCTCTGTACTGAGACACATTATAATCAGTTGTCAAAAGCCCAGGATAAAGAAACAATCCTGAAAGCAGCAAGAGAGAAGCAATTTGTCATCTACAAGTTATCCTCAATAAGATTAAAAGCATATTTCTCATTAAAAAACCCATGGATTCCAGAAGATAGGGATGACATTCTTAAAGGGCTAAAAGAAGTGCTATTAACCAGGAATTCTATAACCAAAAATACTATGATTCAAAAATGAAGGAGAAATTAAGATATCTCTGATTTTTAAAAAAAGACAAAACAAAAAAACTGAGTGAATTTACCATTAGTGGACATGCCCTACAAGAAATGCTAAAGGGAGTCCTTCAAGTTGAAATAAAAGGACACTAGACAATAACTTGAAGCCATACAAAGAAATAAAAAACTCCAATGAAGTTAACATCAAAGGTAGATATGAAAGCCAGTATCATTGTATTTTGGGTTTGTAACTCCTCTTATTTGCTATGTGATTTAAAAGACAAATACACAAAACAGTAATTATAAATGTGTGTTAATGGCACACAATTTTTAAAAGATGTAATTTGTGATTGCAACAAAAGAGGAGGGCCAGGTACAGTGGCTCATGCCTGTAATCCCAGCACTTTGGGAGGCCAAGGCAGGGGGATCACTTGAGGCCAGGAGTTCAATACCAGCCTGGCCAACATGGTGAAACCCCATCTCTACTAAAAATACAAATAATTAGCTGGGCGTGGTAGTGCACACCTGTAACCCCAGCTCTCGGGAGGCTGGGGCAGGAAAATCTCTTGAACCCAGGAGGTGGAGATTGCAGAGTTGAGATTGCACCATAGCACTCCAGCCTGGGTGACAGAGTGAGACTCTGTCTCAAAGAAAAATAAAACAACAAAAACAGCAACAGAAAAAGGGGAGGATTAAGCTATATAGCTGTAGAGTTTTAAAAATTTATTCTGTTGAAGCTTAGTTGGTATGAACTCAAACTAGAGTAGTACAAATTTAGGATGTTAATTGTAATCTTCATGGTAATCACTAAGAAAGTAACTAAAAAATGTACACAAAAAGAAATCAGAAGGGAATCAAAATGATACACTAGAAAAAGGCAATTTAAAAGGCTACCAAATTTGAATAGGGCCCAGAACAGAAAGGGCATTGCAGTAGGTCTAGGCTACTGTCCAAATGGCCCAGTTGCTTGGGACAGGTGATCCATCAGACTATGATATTAAAGGTATCGGTGGTGGGAAACAATACGATCTGGAGTTTATTGCAAATAAGATATTTACAATGTAAATCCTTAGGCTTCTGGAGCAAGGCCATACCATCTGTAGCAGAAAATTACCTTTAAAAACACTGCCTGTCACCAGGCCTTAGTAGAGATAAAGCACCTGACCATGGGACATCAAGTGACCATGAAGCCAGAACTTCTCATCATGAGTTGGTTTGTTAAACCCAACTCCATGTCATCCATCACTGTTGCACCAGTACCTCTGTCTCAGCTCATACCTATGCCCACACGAGGTGTTTAACTGTTGGAGGAGGAAAGAGACTGACCTTGGTTCATGGATGGCTCAGCTTGGTATGTGGATGCCAGCTGAAAATGAATTGTAGCTTCACTACAGTCTTACTCAGGGTTAGGAAGATAGCAGTAAGGAGAAATCCACCCAAAGGGCAGAATTTCAGATGGTACAACTAGTAATCATTTTGTGTGGGAAGAGAAGTGGTCTGATATTAGAATATGCAGACTCACAGGCAGTGGCCAGCTAGTCACGGCTTGGAAGGAAAAATACTGAGAGATTGGGAACAAGGAGATCTGGGGAAGGCGCATGTGGATATACCTAAAACAGCACTCACCAATGCTGAACTAGCTCTTGATGCTGCTGCATGCCCAGCCTGCCAGCAACAAAGACCAGTGTTGAGCTTCCACTGTGACATTTTCTCTTGAGGAGACCAATAAGCCAGTTGGCAACAAGTTGCCTACAATGAAGTAAAACTAATTTATCTTCGTTGGAATCAATAAACATTCTGGGTATAAATATCTGTCTCCTGCTTGCAGACTGTAACCAGCACTACTATCTTAAAGTTTAAGAGGATTCGTTCCATTTACACAGGATCCTTCATAAAATCACATTAGACCAAGTGACGTGTACATCAGAGGAGGTGTGGCAGTGGTCTTGTGAACATGCACTGGATCTCTTACTTATAGCAGCACTCAAAGCTGATAGTATGATAGAGCAACAGATCAATGAATGACCTGTTGAAAGCACAGCTGAAGTGGCAGCTTGGAAGTGATACCTCACATGGATGGGATGTAATCCTCTAGGCTACAGTATATACCATGAATCAATGGCCTTTATATGATGATGTGTTTCCAGTAGACATAATGCATGGTTCTGAGAATAAAGGGCTAGAAGTAGGAATGGTCCTGCCTGGGCACGGTGGTTCATGCCTGTAATCCCAGCACTTTGGGAGGCCGAGGTGGGTGGATCACTTGAAGTCAGGAGTTTGAAACCAGCCTGGCCAATATGGCAAAACCCTGTCTCTACTTAAAAAAAAATGAGTGCTCACCTTGGCAGCACATATATTAAAATTGGAACGATACAGAGAAGATTAGCAAGGCCCTTGCACAAGGATGACATGCAAATTCGTGAAGTGTTTCATATTTTTCAAAAGAGACAAAGAAGGGCATTACATAATGGTAAAAGGATCAATGCAACAAAAAGAGCTAACTATCCTAAATATATATGCACCCAATACAGGAGCACCCAGACACATAAAGCAAGTTCTTAACAACCTACAAAGAGACATAGACTCCCACACAATATTAGTGGGAAACTTTAACACTCCACTGTCAATATTAGACAGATCAATGAGACAGAAAATTAACAAGGATATCCAGGACTTGAACGCAGATCTGGACCAAGAGGACCTAATAGACATCTACAGAACTCTCCACCGCAAATCCACAGAATATACATTCTTCTCAGCACCACATTATGCTTACTCTAAAACTGACCACATAACTGGAAGTAAATCACTCCTCAGCAAATACTAAAGAACAGAAACCCTAACAGTCTCTCAGACCACAGTATAATCAAATTAGAACTCAGGACTAAGAAAACTCACCCAAAACGACACAACTATATGGAAACTGAACAACTTCCTCCTGAATGATGACTGGATAAACAATGAAATGAAGGCAGAAATAAAGATGTTCTTCAAAACCAATGAGAACAAGTACATAACATACCAGAGTCTCTGGGACACATTTAAAGCAGTGTCTACAGAAAAATTTATAGCAATAAATGCCCACATGAGAAGCAAGGAAAGATCTAAAATCGACATCCTATCATCAAAATTGAAAGAGCTAGAATAGCAAGATCAAAAAAATTTAAAAGCTAGCAGAAGACAAGAAATAACTAAGATCAGAGCAGAACTGAAGAAGATAGAGACACACAAAAAAATCCTTTAAAAAATCAATAAATCCAGGAGCTGGTTTTTTGAAAAGATCAACAAAATAGACCACTAGCCAGATTAATAAAAAAGAAAAGAGAGAAGAATCAAATAGATGCAATAAAAAACAATAAAGGAGATATCACCACTGATTCCACAGAAATATAAACTACCATCAGAGATTACTGCAAACAACTCTATGCATATAAATTAGTAAGCCTGGAAGAAATGGATAAATTCCTGAACATTTACACCCTCCCAAGACTAAACCAGGAAGAAGTTGAATCCCTGAGTAGACCAATACAATATCAGAAGTTGAGGCAGCAATTAATAACCTACTAACCAAAAAAAGTCCAGGCCCAGATGGGTTTACAGCCAAAATCTACCTGACGTACAAAGAGGAGCTGGTACCATTCCTTCTGAAACTATTCCAAACAATACAAAAAGAGGGAATCCTCCCTAACTCATTTTATGAGACTAACATCATCCTGATACCAAAACCTGGCAGAGACACAACAAAAAAAGAAAACTTCATGGCAATTGATGAACATCGATGCAAAAATCTTCAATAATACTGGCAAACCAATTGCAACAGCACATCAAAAAGCTTATCCATCATGATCAAGTAGGCTTCATCCTGGGGATTCAAGGCTGGTCCACATACGAAAATCTAGAAACGTAATCCATCACATAAACAGAATCAAAGATAAAAACCACATGATCATCTCAATAGATGCAGAGAAGGCCTTCGAAAAAATTCAACAGCGCTTTATGCTAAAAACTCTCAATAAACTAGGTATCAATGGAATGTATCTCAAAATAATAAAAGTTATTTACAACAAACCCACAGCCAATATCATACTGAACAGGCAAAACCTGGAAGCATTCCCTTTGAAATCTGGCACTAGACAAGGCTGTCCTCTCTCACTACTCCTATTCAAATAGTATTGGAAGTTCTAGCCAGAGCAATCAGGCATGAAAAAGAAATAAAGGTATTCAATTAGGAAAAGAGGAAGTCAAATTATCTCTATTTGCAGATGACATGATTGTATATTTAGAAGATCCCAGCATCTCAGCCCAAAATCTCCTTAAGCTGATAAGCAACTTTAGCAAAGTCTCAGGATGCAAAATCAATGTGCAGAAATCACAAGCATTCCTATACACCAATAACAGACTTAAAGAGATCCAAATTATGAGCAAACTCCCATTCACAATTGCTACAAAGAGAATAAAATACCTAGGAATACAAGCAACAAAGGATGTGAAGGACCTTTTCAAGGAGAACTACAAACCACTGCTCAAGGAAATAAGAGTGGACACAAACAGATTGAAAAACATTCCATGCTTATGGTTAGGAAGAATCAATATGGTGAAAATGTCCATACTGCCTAAAGTAATTTACAGATTCAATGCTATCCCCATCAAGCTACCATTGACCTTCACAGAACTGGAAAAAAACACCTTAAAGTTCATATGGAACCAAAAGAGAGCCCACATGGCCAAGACAACCATAAGGGAAAAAAAAAAAAAAAGGCATCATGCTACCTGACTTTAAACTATACTATAAGGCTACAGTAATCAAAACAGCATGCTACTGGTATCAAAACAGAAATATAGACCAATGGAACAGAACAGAGGCCTCAGAAGTAGCACCATACATCTACAACCATGTGATCTTTGACAAATCTGACAAAAACAAGCAATGGGGAAAGGAATCCCTGTTTAATAAATGGTGTTGGGAAAACTAGCTAGCCATGTGCAGAAAGCTGAAACTGAACCCCTTCCTTACACCTTACACTAAAATTAACTCCAGATGGATTAAAGATTTAAACATAAGACCTGATACCATAAAAACCCTAGAAGAAAAACTAGGCAAAACCATTCAGGACATAGGTGTAGGCAAGGACTTCATGACTAAAACACCAAAAGCAATGGCAACAGAAGCCAAAACAGACAAGTAGTATCTAATTAAACTTGAGTTTCTGCACAGCAAAAGAAACAATCATCAGAGTGAACTGGCAACCAACAAGATGTGAAAAAAATTTTGCAATCTACCTGTCTGACAAAGGGCTAATATCCAGAATCTGCAAAGAACTATATCAGATTTACAAGAAAAAACAAACAAACCCATTCAAAAGTGGGCAAAAGACGTGAACAGACACTTTTCAAAAGAAGACATTTATGAGGCCAACAAACATGAAAAAATGCTCATCATCACTGGTCATTAGAGAAATGCAAATCAAAACCACATTGAGATACCACCTCACACCAGTTAGAATGGTGATCATTAAAAAATCTGGAGACAACAGATGCTGTTGAGGATGTGGAGAAATAGGAACACTTTTACACTGTTGGTGGGAGTGTAAATTAGTTCAACCATTGTGGAAGACAGTGTGGTGATTCCTCAAGGATCTAGAAATAGAAATTCCATTTGACCCAGCAATCCCATTACTGGGTATATACCCAAATGGTTATAAATCATTCTATTATAAAGACACATGCACATGTATGTTCATTGTGGCACTGTTTACAATAGCAAAGACCTGGAACCAACCCAAATGCCCATCAATGATAGACTGGACAAAGAAAATATGGCACATATACACCATGGAATACTATGCAGCCATAAAAATCAATGAATTCATGTCCTTTATAGGGATATGGATGAATCTGGCAACCATCTTTCTCAGAAAACTGACACAAGAACAGAAAATCAAACACTGCATGTTCCACTCATAGGCATATGTTGAACAATGATAACACATGGGCACGGGGGTAACATCACACACTGGGGTCTGTTGTGTGGTGGGAGGCTAGGGGAGGGACAGTGGAGCATGGGGTTGTTGAGGAGGGGTAACATTGGGAGAAATGCCTGATGTAGTTGACAGAGGGATGGAGACAGCAAACCACTATGGCATGTGTGTATATATGCAACAATCCTGCAAGATGTGCACATGTACCCCGGAACTTAAAGTACAATAAAAAAAAATTGCCCTCCGAAATTTTTATAATCACTCCTTTCATTAAATGTAAAGACTAGGTAATTTGTGTGTTCCACTTTTCCAGGCAATTCAAGATGAAAAGGCAACCCCCCCCCCACAAAAAAAAGATAAAGTTAACTGGGCCTGGTGGTGGGTGCCTGTATTCCCAGCTATTCGGGAGGCTGAGGCACGAGAATTGCTTGAACCCTGGAGGCAGGAGGTGGGAGAGGGCAGAGACTGCAGTGAGCTCAGATGGCGCCTCTACACTCCAGCCTGGGTGACAGAGCCAGACTCCATCTCAAAAAAAAAAAAAAAAAAAAAATGTAGAAGTGGTCCTGCTTATCATCATTCTCAGGAACCCACTTTTGGGGAATTTGTGTTTCTGGTTCTTGCAACTCTTACTTCTGATTAGCTTCTAGCTTCAAAGTCCTGGTTTACAGGAGGAAAATGCTCTTGTCCCGGAACTCAGCAAAACTCTTGGAAAAAAAATAAATAAAACTTCAGGTGATAGCTTCTTGTAGGTCACTTTGGGCATCTTTTGCCAGGAAAAAAGCAGACAAAGACAGGAGTCATCATTCTGATTTTCAGGAGGAGAGAGCTATCAGGTGATCCACTGGGAAGCTCTTGGAATTCCCTTGCCCACTTTTTTCTTTTCTTTTCTTTTCTTTTTTTTTTTTTTGAGATGAAGTCTCACTCTTGTCACCCAGGCTGGAGTGTAGTGGCATGATCTTGACTAACTGCAACCTCCACCTCCCTGGTTCAAGTGATTCTCCTGCCTCAGCCTCCTGAGTAGCTGGGACAACGGGCGCATGCCACCATGGCTGGCTGATTTTTGTATTTTCACCATGTTGGCCAGGCTGGTCTTGAGCTTCTGACCTCATGTGTTCCACCCACTTTGGCCTCCCAAAATGCTGGGATTACAGGCGTGAGCCGCTGTGCCCAGTCCCTTGCCCACTTTTGGTAGTAAATGGACAAGTGTAGGAATCATGCTTGACCAAATGGACAAGTGTAGGAATCATGCTTGACCAAGGTAACCGGGAGCTCAGACTCCTTAAGGATGAGAGTCTGTGTCTCTTCACCTGGTAAACCATTAGACTAGCAGAACTGCTAGCAGAGGGTGAGGGGAATGTAGCATGGATGGAGGAGGAAGGGGATAAAGAACATTAGTAATGGCTATGAAGCCAGATGCAGCAGCAGAGGATAAGAGCATTTGTTCCATTTACACAGGATCCT